TGCTGCCTCTAAAGTATTGTCTATTTGGTGGTTTAATACCTGTAGTTCAGTTTATCTCTCAGCAACTTTATCCACCCTGTAAGTCTTCAATCTTTCCTCCCTTCCCTTTCTTCCTGTCATTTTCTTCTCCCTGAATTCCCCATTAATTGTCTTTGCCTTTTTCACTCTCCTCCTCTGTAACTCCCCATCTTTGTTCCCCTTCCTTTTTCACTTTCTACCTCCAAAGAGAGACAAAGCTGACTGTAGACCTGGTTGGAAGAGCTCCCTATCTCCACCAGCCAAGAATGGAGGTAGATGGCTGGTAGGGGGAAAAATACACTGTATCAAGGAGACATATAAAATTACCCCCAAGAGGTCAGGGTGTTGAGAGAAATGCACTGCATTCCAGTGAAGTTGAAGGACAGACAGAGCCAAGAGACCCCAGAAGGACCACGCTGAGGCTGTAAATTACCAAGTCTAAAAACTCCAAAATTCAACTTAAGGTGACTTGCTGAACTAAACTCTTCACTACCTGAGGGTTACACATTGCATTATGATTTTGAATTGAGTAAACTTACATTCATATAGAAAGAGGTTTCTCTCTTTCCTATCTATGTAATCCTCAGAAGCAGGAAGAAATGGATAATGGACCAAAACACAGCTTTCATTGTAAGCTGTGTAAAAGCTACTCAGGGTGAGAAACTTTTTGAACAAGCAGAGTTCAATCACAGTAGTAATGAGTTTCACAATGGAAACCCGGCCAGAATCTCCATCTGTACCAATGGAACTGGTGTAGATGGAGAACGACTAGAGATGCTGTTTTGGAAATAATAGCTGCAACTCTTTTTTTCAGTTAAAAAAATTGATGTGTCTGCACAAACAGGCACATAAGTTCAAAAAGATCTTACCAGTGTTATCAAACCAAAGATGGGTTTGTTTAAAGATAGAGTCTGAAGAATGTGTTTGAAGTTAGTTTACAATCATCTCATTACCCTTCCCCAAACTCAGAAATATACTACTTTAATAGCTGAGAAAAATTGTGCAAAAATATGGTCAGGTTTTGATGATAACACCCACCAAAAGTTTAAATAATCATTAATTATACAATAGTCTCCATTTTAGTCTTTAATTGATTATAATTTATTTTATATAGGGTTTAGCTTATTTTTAAATAACACTTCATTTTACCTGCCAATTAATTCTAAAATGACTGTTTAATAGTTATATTTTCATAATGTTATATTTTTGTAATGTTTATAAATTTTTGCATTGAAGAATATTAATACTTGGTATCACTAATCTGTTATGAATTCTTCACACCTAATTAGAAATAATATAATTAGTATTTGTGCAAAGTAAACACTTCCATTTTACTCCAGATTTCAGTCACTCTTTTAGATGTCTAAGGGCACTTCGGATAAGAGTTGAAAGATGAGAGGATTTAGTCAAAAGAACATTCTTCTAGGCAGAGTATTCTGGATGCAGAAGAACATAGTGAGTTTGCACAAGAAGTTTAATATAGTTAGTTGCCAGGACTTGGAAGGATGAAAGAAAGGTCTGCGATGAGGATTACATGATAGGCTGGTGACAGATGATAAAGACCTTTGGGAAGCCATGAAAAGTATCCAGGACCTTTGGGAATCCATAGAATTTTAAGCTAAAGGGTGGTCAGTCAGATTGTATTTTAGAAAGTTTTCTAGCTGTTACACAAACAAGTTGGATAAAAGCAATCCAGTTACTACAAACTTACAGGCATATAATAACCAGGGTATGCCAGAGGCACCAGGATGGAGAGAAAATAGCGTTGAGAAATATTCAGGAACTAGTATTCACGGGTATGACAGTGGGCCTGAGTGTGGGTGGCCGTGGCCGCAGTTTCTGAGGAGGTACTGCAGGGAGGGCTATGTGGGCCATGTGTGATGGTGGTAAGTTCACTTTTGCAGCTGTCCATGGGACAAACAGATTTCTGTTAGATAGATAGATGTAAAGTTCTGGGCTTAGCGAGGACTGCAGTGGACATGTGGACTTCTGAGCATTGTCCACACTGGAAAGACAGTTGACGCTCTGAGAATGGATGCCATCTTCAAGATGGAAGTGTGAAAGAAGTCTAAGCAAGATCAGCCAGAGTGGTGGTAGAAAAATCAGAAGAGGATGATGTCATAGAAACCAGAAAAAGATGAATGATCATCTGTGCTAGATGTTACAGAGAGTTCAAGCAGGAAAAGGAACAAAAGTATTTTTTATTTTAACTTTAAAGCAGTCTTGGTGATCCTGAGTGCCAGAAGCTTACACCTGTAATCCTAGCTGGTCAGGAGGCAGAGATCAGGAGGATCATGGTTCGAAGCCAGTCCAGGCAAATAGTTCACAGACCCTATCTCAGAAAACCCATCACAAAAAAAGGGCTGGCAGAATGGCTCAAGGTGTAGGCTCGGAGTTCACACCCCAGTATCTTTAAAAAAAAAAAAAAAAAAGACAGTCATTTATTGATCCATGCAATGGAAGTCAGATTACAGTAATTCTAACGTGAAGAATTTAGCAGCTCTTTCAGAAGTTTCCAATGGAAGAAAGAAAAAAGAGACAAATGTTTAATTTCGAAGGATGATACAGAGTTGAGTTGTATATTAAAAGGTGGAGAAAAGGGAATGAGCAAGTAGAGGAATAAGCTGCAGATAAAGAATGCTTTGGGAAAAATAAAAAAAGAAATTAAAAAAAAAAAAAGAATGCTTTGGCATTCTTGGGGGCAGATCGAGCAGAGGCCAGGATGTAGAGCAGATTGGGTTTTGATTATAGGGAAAAGGAAGCCAGAGTCTGACTACAGGTAAACTTCTGTGCTTGGCTTCTGAAGAGGCTTCTTCGTCTACTTTATGAAGTAGACAGCATAGTAATTTGCTGAGATTGAAGATGGGTAGGAGATTGAAGGAGAAAAGAGGACATTTGAAACAATAGCTCTGCAGAAGCAGAGAGCTGACCAGTAAAAACTTGAAGAGGACAATTTATGGTTATCGAAGATGAATTGATGGCAGCTCTGTGCCTTTATGAATTTCTCCAGCAGCCTAGAACAGCAATCCTTCCTGCCCTTCCTAAAATATGTGGGCTGTATCTGAACAAGAGTGGGGTTTCACACCTGAGTCCCTGAGGTGCAAGGAAGGGAATACAATGAATGTGACTCACGTCTTTGAGCCTCCACTTTTGTTCTGTGCTGCAATATTAAAATCTCCTCCAAAGTTATTAAATTGTATTAATTGAAACTGCTCCTTCAGTAAATGGCCCCAGACTGCTTGTTTTCCTTTAAGTTCTTGTCCGCTTTTTTATACTATTTCTGTCTCCTGCCTTTCTGTTTTCTTCCTTGTTGTCAGTTGTTCTATCACATTGCTGTCTGCATGCAAGTCTGTATCAGCCCTACACCCTGGACTTTGTCAACATCGGGAATTATCACACCTCTGAAATAAAGCTGTGGGCTTGAAGACCAGACAACCAAGCTTGTTAGAATTGTGTGCAAAGTAAGAGTAAATCACCTCTGAGTGTGATTCTTATGTGCTGTGCTTTGAGGGTGTACATGAGTGTTTGTACATAGATTTTGTGACACATATTGGATTGTTTATCAGTTGTCCATATATGAAATGTTCATTGCCTGTATTCTCATTGTGCTTTTCTTGTTTTGAATTTCCATGGATTATAATATTCTTAGAGAACCTTTACTATTTGATTATATTTTTGTAATGATGCTTTAGTACTTATACAGTATTTTCATATGCACTTCCTAAATTTTAAAACCACACAATTAAACATGTTACTGTATTTTTTCTTATTATTCTCATGGATTTTCAAATATGTATTTTGTATGGCAATAACCTGCAGTTTCAAATATTTATGCATTTTGTATGCAAGTAATATGCCATGTCACCAGTTGGTTATTTAGCCATGTCACATGTAAATGAAATGGAACAATGTGAAGCAAATATTTTGGAGGATTTGAAAAATCAGTTATATACTCTTGCTTGTCAGTTATTTTCATTTGTATGGATTTCCTCATCTGTGAACATTCCATGTACATAGCAACAATTTAAATTGTTTAAAGATGTATATTCTTGGGTGCTCAGTCTAATATCAGTTTAATACTTTGTATAAATTAATTTTTTTTCAGTGCTGGGAATTGAACCAGGACCCATACTTTCTAAGTTTGAACTACACCCTCAGTCCCAATTATCTTAATTTTGATCTATACATTTCTTCTTGTCAGGAAGAAGGTAAATTCCACACCAGTCATTAGGAGACTTTGTTCTAGTTCCCTAAGATGGTGCTGAAGGTTGGGACCCTGGAAAGTTGATAACATTGAGAGTCCATCACCTGGCCACACTGGTTGCTTAGGAGACATCTGTTCTCCAGGCCTGCAGTGCTCTCCAGGTTTGGTGGCCTTCCTGGACACTTTTTGCACCTACCACTTAAGAACCAGTGGTAAAGCCCAGAGTCCTGGGTCCAGGGTGCTACCTCCCCAGCCACTCTGAAGCTCTTTTCTCTGAGCTTCTCCATCTGGTGTGGGCTATCTGGGGCTGCCCAGTCACTCCATGAGATACCTCACTCCTCTCTCCAGTCCACCAACATCCATTTCATCTGGGGGAAATCCCTCACTCCTTATACTCTATTCTCATTAGTTTTTTTTTTTTTTTTTTTTTTTTAAAGAACAAAAACTTAAAATCCCTGTCCCAAATCTTCCCTTAGGCAAAGAAGCATATATAATGTAGCCTATTAAAATGGTGGGACATAGGGAAGGAACACAAATTTAAGAATTTATGGTAGAGTAGTAAACAACCCAACAGACCATCTCTGCTCAGTGTTATCTCCTCTGAAACAAAACCCATGTATAGCCTTGTTTTTATAACTCATTGAAGGATATTAGTATTTAAGTGTATTCATATTTTATTGATAGAATTTCTGAGAAGTGATCTTAAATGCCAAGTAGAAGCTAACATTTTCCAGGTTGAGGTGAATTTTCTAATTTAATTTTGTCTTATTTTACCAAGAACACTGGAACTATTTTGGGGCTGATGAGAATCTTGGTCCGGTGGCTGTGAGCATCCGAAGGGAAAAACCAGAAGAAATGAAAGAAAATGGATCTCCATACAACTACAGAATAATTTTTAGAACTAGTGAGGTAAGTTGCAAGTGAGAGAGACTTGAGGCTTAGTTGATGTGGGGAAAAATGGGATCGAAGCAGTAGCAGAGTGATTAGATTTAATAGCACAAGGTCACAGATGTCCTTAGAATAAAGAAGGCTCCTCTCTTCATTCTGGTAGTGATGCAGGTACATAAGACAGTTTATTTCAGTCCATTTCTAAGTAGAGTCCGTAAATAATAAGAGTTGTGATTCAGAGAAAAACAGGTCAGGAAACTGCAGCCCTCAGTATCTCAAATAGGCTACCACATAGATTCCTGAGGACCCCCAGAAAGTTCTTAGCCAGCTGGAGGAGCCAGAGTGCTCAAGGATAAGAGAGGGTTGCCTAAGGCTTAACTCAGTCTTCCAAGCTAGCGCTGCAGGCTTCTTTCTTCTGGCTGTAAGTTGTGTGTTTTCTCTAAGGTCTAGAACACAGATTACTCAAATTAGAAAGTTATCTAATTGTGGGTAAAACAGGTTCTGGGAGTTCTTAGGAGTCTAAGTACACATAATATATGAGTTTTTAGGTTTAAAATGAAGCTCAGGCCAAAAAGAAAAGGAAATATTTAAAGAAAAACAAATAACAACAAAGCATTAAAAAAACAAAAAAACTTGTGAGCCAGTTTGAGACTGTAAGTCCTTTTTTTGTTTTGTTTTGTTTTCTTCCTAAACATTTGTATAATTGCTCCAGTTATCAGTTATTGCCTCTCAGCTCCTAATTTACTTTAGGATTGTTCTCATGCATTAATGTCTAATACTCCCTGAGGTATCAAGAAAATAGTGGTTTTGAATCTAGTTTAAACAGGGCATTTGGCTTCATTTCTCCTAATAAGTGCAAGACAAGTTTCAGGGCTTGGCTTCACTTAGTAAATTGTTCCTAAGGTTGAAGTCTGGGGAAATTAAAAATAGGATTTTAAAAACAAGGCTATAGTATCTAATATGTGTTTATAGTGGCCAAGTAGAAGTGAAGAGCCCATGTGCTCTCCTGTGCTTTCCCCTGTGTCAGAGCTGATACCCTTAAGAAGTGCATATTCTCGAGCTTGAGCCACACAGAGCATGTCCTGTGGGGAGGGGCACATGTCGGCAGCTGCTGCTTACCAGCTTCTCAGATGCACCAAATTTCCATGAACTGCCCTGTCTTATTTCTAAGTGCTTCTGTCCTTTCTGTTCTTTTCTCTTCCCAGTGCCATTCCGATCCAAGCCCCAGCACAGTCCTCTTCTGTCTTGTGTCCTCAGTCTCCAGAGCTGACTTCTGTTACGTGCTCTATGAACTGCACTGGCTTTGGCCTTTCTATTGTGCTCTTTTACCTTGCTGCACCTGCACAAAGTGCTGTACTTGCATCTCCCTCTGGTTCTCTGGTCATAGGTTTGCCCTTTCCCTGCTGGCTCCCTCAAGTGATTCTATCCTTTGGGTCCTTTCCCTTAGCCTTTGGGTAAAGGTCCAAGTCAAATGTTGTTCAGAAAGCCATTCTTCTTGTTATTTAGGTTCAAATTAATAATGAATCAGTTCATGACTATTCTGGGATAAGACCTTGAGACCATATTTCATTACTGTCTTCTCCTCCCTCCTGCCCCCAAATCTAGTCTGTCAACAATACTTGTCGATCTTGCCTTCAAAATGTTGTATGCTGTATGTTGGGAACTCATCCACTTTAATGGCCCTTGGCACCCATAGCATAGACCTGGTCTTGCTCTGAGAACTAGTCTCCCTGCCTGTACCCTGAATCCCTGCATCCTTCTAACCCAGCAAGGATCTCTGTGAAATGTAACCCAGGTCTCTTCATTCCTCACTCAAAGTCCTTTAAGGGTTTTCCATGTCCTTCTGAGTAAAAGCCTACTCAACCATGCACATCTGCTTCCAGTTATGTCTCCTACTTCATCTCCAGTGACTTCCCTAGGCTCAGTCTTTTCCAGCCACTCTGGCCTCCTTCCCCTCTGTTGCACCTCCGGGCTTTGGTGCTCTCTTCTCCTTCTTGAGGCATCCCCAGGGGTCCAACATGCTCCTTCTCCCCTGACCTTTTCTCCTGTATCATAGGGGCCTTCCTTGGCCACTAGAGCTAAGATTTCTACCTTCTCCATTTCATACCCAATTCCACTTAACACTATCTTACATATTGTGCTTACTTATTTTGCTTGCTTTCTGTTTCTCTCACTAGAACGTAAGACCCATGAGGTTGGAGACTTTTATCTGAGTTGTTCATTACTACATGCTGAATGCCTAATGCCTAAAACAGTCCCTTTGAAGGGATGGAGCAGCAGTTTGGGGGTAGTGCAGTAGAGCGTTTGCCTGAGTTTTTCTTTCCAACCAAAACAATTCCTAAATGTAGCTTAATTATACTATCTTTATAAGACTTTTCATAGAAGTAAAGTAACAAACGTCCTTTGACAGAAATACTTTAAAATGTTGCTCCCTGCCCGTAACTCCTAGACTTCTTCTGACAGTGCTTTACTTGTTTCATTGAAGCAAGCTCACCAGACAGATAATGAAATAACATTTAATTTGTCCTAGGGGTTTCTCATGTTACTAATTTCTCATGTCAATAAATGCATTGAGAAAAAAGAAAACATGATCATCACGGTGGCTTCCGTAAATAACATCAAGGTAACAGAAATACAAGCAAATTTCTTTCATTTCAGTGGAAGTTGTCATTGCCAAACATAAGCCAAAAATACCTTGCACACAGTTTGTAGGCATGGTGGTTTCTTTATGAACAAACTTACGGTATATGAGTATTTTTAAATATAGAAGTACAAGGATTTACAAGTACTCTCTCCTTGTTTCTGGAAGTCATTAACAAAAATGCCAGTATGTAATAATGCTAGTGACCAGAATGTAAAAATGAGTCATTTTTTTTTTCCCATGTGCTTTGTCTTTAAAGTTAGCTGTTGTCTTTCTGTGGTACAGGATGCAGTGATTTGCATTTCTGGTCTTGGCTTCTAAATTGAAAATACTCCCAAGCTTTTGTGGTCTTTTACTTGAGGTCTGTGTTATTTCATGAAAGGAAAAACCAGGTAGTTACTAAGTAACCCAGTTGTTTCCCATGATTTAAAACAAAGCAGAACAAAACCATTTTCTGTCAAATTAGATATTAAGTAATAGGAAAATGATGATTTTTTACACTTATTTAAAAAGAAATGACTTATAAATGAGAAAGGATACTCACCAAATGATTAGATTTCAAATACCTTATATCCTTTTTTTTATTATTATTAAAAGTAAGATGCTAATAAATTTGGCTTTTCCTACCTCTCCCCCACCCCCACATCTGTCTTGACTCCATTAGTTGCAAATCTTACAATTTTTTTTTCTTGGCAGTTCTTCCTCTGGTGTTCATGTTCCCTGCTAATTATACTTCATACCTTCTTTTCCTGTTCTTTTTTTCTTTCTTTCGTTTGTTTTTTCGGTCCTTGCACATGCATATGTGTATACGTTACTGGGGACTGAACTAAAGGCCTTGAACGTGCGAGGTAAGCACTCTAGAACTTAAGCCCAGCCTCTTTTGTATTTTGTTATTAAGATAGGATCTCACTAATTTAGGGCTAGCGTCCAACTTCCAGTCTTCCTGCCTTTACCTCCAAGGTGTTGGGATTGCAGGTGTGCACTGTCATACTGGCTTTCCTTTCCTGTTACCTGAAGACTGTTTTAGCCCACAGATTATATTCTCGGTTTCCAGTTTCTTCTGCTTGCATTTTGTCTTATTTGCCAACTTAATTTCTGGAGGTGTGCACCCTCATTCACATATGAGACTGCCCATCAGCTGTGGGGCCTTCTGCCCTGGCTCCTGTGCTCTCCCCAGCAACACAGCTTCACCATACTCCCCCTGTCCTTTCTTAGGTCCAGCTACAGCAGTCGCTCTTTCCCACTCACAGTCTGGTTCTTTCCCTTTTCCCTTGCTCACATTGTCTTGTTGTAGAATAAGAAAGTGTTCCTTTATTTTATAGCTCTTTCTAATGCCACCCCTTCCACCATGGCCTGTCCTGCCTTTGGACTATCTTGAGACCTCCACTTGCTGGACTTTGATTAGTAAATGTATCCTTGCTAGATTGCATTCGTGTACTTCATGTCTCTCACCCTCTTATACACCATGTGCTTCCCTCAAAATGTGTTTCTCTATATGCTTTTGTAGTTTTCCTATTGCAGAATCCTTTATAACCTATGTATTTAATGGAAATTTGTTCAGTTTGATTTTTTTAAATCAAAACCAGTATTTAAATTATGTTAACAATTTGGCCACACAAAAATTTTTAGAAATCAAGACTACTTCAGGCTTTGTGCCTGTTTAATTTTTCTCTAACAAATCATTATGACATAGAGAAATGTCTTTGCTTAAGTTTATATTTCATAATGGAAAGTATTTTAAGAAACAAAGGAAAGTATAAAGTAATTTCCAATGTTGTACTACAGTCGTTGTCCTATTATGGCAGCATTTGGGGATATGATAGCTTATGCTTGTCAGCTATGCATTATGAAATTTAAAACTTCATCCCCTCTCTTAGCTTTTGTAATTCAAAAAGATACTCACTTTCTAAGTGTTTATTCTTCAGATGTCTCCCTGGGATATATCCTTCTTAATTTCTTGGTTAGTCTGCTTAGTGGCATTTTATAGCCCCAGAGAGACCTTGATCTTACTTATATCTTTAAGGGAATGTTATGTTTGACACATGAGAAAATACCCTTGGAATATTTATACCACAAGTTCCTTTGAACTTGCATGGGTGTTCTGGAAAGTATTGGACTCGTTTTTCATATATAAAATATCCTTCATCGTATATAGAATGTCGTGTGGGCAGCTTAACCACCTTCTCACTCCCCAGCTCTGTACAGAGCTGTCATCTGGGCCTTCAGTGCATGTGACACATTCAGCAATCACATGCCCCAGAGAGGCTCACCACACACCTTTCTCTCTTGCAGCTCATGACAATGAGAGGCTCTGTCCTGGAAGATGCCATTCCCTCCACGGCAAAGCACTCAACAGCCAGAGGGCTGCCTCTGAAAGAGGTGTTGGAGCACGTGATCCCCGAGCTCAATGTCCAGTGCCTGCGACTGGCCTTCAACACTCCCAAAGTCACAGAGCAGCTCATGAAGCTGGATGAGCAAGGGGTGAGTGCAGCTGTCAGAGGAGCACATTCTTGCTGCTCAGGTTTCCTGCTAGGCTTCCTGAACCCAAACTCTAACATTTCTTTTTCGCTGGGGGAAAACCGTTGCCATTTATTGTAGAGGTTATTCTCTTTGTGATTATTCATTTTCTTTTTTCTAACTCAGAACATTTCTCACCTGATGAAATGCTCTGTCAGAATTGATAGGTGGAGAAAATAAACTATGTTCAGCTCTTTCAGTAGTCTTCCTTGCATGCAGCGAACTTTTTGAGCATCTTGGAATAAGTTGTAGTAGTAATATTAATAAGTATAATAATGTTATTACATTACTAATAAGTAATAGAATAGTAATGGCTAACACTAATGAGAATACTCACTGGGCTGTGTTCTAGGTGTCTGAAATATGTTATCTCACTTAATCTTCCAACCCTAAGAGAATGGTACTGTTACTGTCCCAATTTTAGAGAGAAGGAATCTGGGACATAGAGAGGGTACACAGTAAATGCAGTTTCACAGTTAATAAGTTGTGGAACCAGGGTTCAAACACAGTCATCTGCCTCAAAAACTGTCCTGTTACCCACTACACCATTCCAGTCTTAAAAGCTTAGACTTTAAAAGTCTATTTGTACCACCTAAGGTGCATTTTAGCTGAGATTTGTAAGAATAAAAATTTAAAATTTGTGTCTGAGTTGGTAACAAATCTAAAATGCTCAAGACTTGCTGCTTCTATACTTCTTATCCTTAAATATGTGGGTCCTTTGATCAAGATGCAAATGTGTGATAGGATAATCCATCCAGAGGTTGCAAAAGGGGAGTAAAAAAGCTATAATCTGATATTGTCCCTGCCCAGACAGTGTTATCCACATTCTGCTTGAAGAAATTTGAACATACGGGCCAATCATGTAGATACAGTGGACCCTTGCTATCCATAGGTAGGTGAGAACACTGCCAGGAGAAACTGAATGTTCAAAATGCATAGAATTCAACAGTGTTCTGTAGGCTGTTCAGGATGCATAGAGTTCAGTAGTGTACTATGGACACTTGATTCATTTTTCTTCTAACATTGCCCACTGAAGGCAATCTTTCAACAAATCCAAAATTTTCACTTTATCTCTTAAATTAACCACATTAACTTTTACTTTGCTTCTGGGGAGGCATATTTTCACAAAACTAAGGACAGGGAAACAGCAGATCACAGAATTTAAATACAACTAATAACAATGTAGGACTGGGAGCATCTGTGATCAGCTGAGCTGCATAGTGTATACACAGGAATTAAAAGTTTTTGTTTAAATTTATTACTTTGTTACCATGCTTGATCAAACCCATCTGTAATAAATGTGCAAATAAGGCGGGCTTTCTGTATTGCATTTATATAATCTTACTTTAATTCCCTTGAGCATTTCAGCCATCTTGTACCCTAGCAGTGAGTAGAAGTAGTTTTAACATTGTATTGAGAAAAAAAAAAAAAACTCCTTGAAAAGTAAAACTGGTCCAGGTATTGAATGTCATTTTGTGAACCAATTTTGATGGCATTTCTTTAATCAAAAATTCCAATTCTATTACAAAAGTTGAGAGTACAAAAAAAAAAAGCTATTTCAAGGTATTTTCATTCTTTCAGTTCAGCCAATGAGAAGAAAAAGTGAATGAGCAGTTGGATGTAACTTTCCTAATCCGTGCTGTTTCTCTCTCCATTTTGTTGTTCACAATGCATAGCTAATGTCTGTTCCACATGTATATATAAAGAATGCCACAGCACCCATGCTTAGAACATGTGGATTTGAAGCACTTTGAAGGATGCAGAAGACAACTAATTCATAAACTTAACGATTTTGAGGTCTGTGTCCCAGACCATATTCTGGACATTTATTCCAGTGAAGAAGGCGCAGAGAAATGATTAGGTTCAATTTTATTGATTCAGTCATTTCAATTATTATGTTATTAAGGAGAATAAACACATTTAGGCACTGGTAATATAGCCATATACTTAACATTCTAAATTTATATTTGAATGATATCTTATATAAGGAAGGCATTTGTTATCATTTTCCCTTGCTTTAAACATTAAATAAAATGGATTCTCTAATTGTGGACATTTTAGGATTTCTGACACACTCTGTTAGTGATGCAAAATGTTGGACTGCTGATGGTGCTGGTCTATGATGAATGTTTTATGGTCCCTTCAACACAGGAAAGATAGGAACACTATAATGAGTTTAACACAAAGTTAAATTTATTTTATTCAGAAAATTGGCCATTATTTTGTAATTATGGCCTTCCTATTCTTAGAGATATTAAAGTAGCTCTTCCCTTCATAAATTATTAATGATAATATATGGTAATTGTTTTCTCTAAGCATTAAAATTTGGCGCTCAATGAGCCTATCCAATTTTATTTTGGAAAGAAATGCCTAAAATGTTATCCCATGAAATGCGATTTTACTAATAGGCAGTAGTTTTACCAGGCAATAGAAGCTTAAAGCATGCTGCTCTAATGAGTGGTCGCACGTTATTATTAGTTGTATTTAAATTGTGTGATTTTGCTGAATATTTCCCTGCTCTTAAGGGTACAACCACTTGGCCTCTGTCTTTTCTTTTCTGTCTGCATGCATAGCATTCAAACCCAGGATTGTACTGGTACAACAGATGACATGCGTACTTTAGCAGGGGAGTCATATTTTTTGGCAGGAAATCTCATTAATGTCTTGGAACCATTTTTAGAAAATGATTATTTGGATGTTTTTGGAAATACATATTTTAAAAAGAAATGCATCTGAATGCAGTGAATTATTCATATGAATCATTGCAAAGCATTTTTATTTTCCATCTGTGTTGTCCTTTTTTGAAATTTCAAGCTTTCTCTGTCCTTGTATTTAAAGTGATTCATAGTGTGATAATGGGAACCCAGATTCGCTAAAGGGAACTTCTAAATCTCCCCTTAAGTTTTTTCAAATGAGTCCTTTAATATATTTTCTACTCTTATTAAATGACTTATATAATTATGTTTGGAAAAAGAAAACATAATTTGTTCACTATATTATGGGATTTTGCCTTTCAAATCCTAGATGTTTTATTTTCTCATTTTGCCACTATAAAAGCTAAAATGAGCAGAAGGAAAAATTAAAATTTTATCTATGAAGTGTACAAGAAAGCATTGCATGATGATCTAAACAATTATATGTGGTAGTGGAAGTAGGTTTTTTGGTTCCTGAAGAAATTCATCTTGGGAATTGACACAAGCTTTGTGACTTATCCAGGCTTTACCTTTCCGGGCCTTTCAGTATTTATTCATGTCTATTTCCATTGTTACTTAAAATGATGGTGAAAAGATAAAACTCACTTAGCAGTGTTTTCACACTGGCTGAGATTTAGAATACTTCAGACCTTAGAATATTTGGATCAATGCTGGGTTTAATTTAACTATGGTATTCTTAGGTCTTCATTTATTAGACAATTGAGAACATTTCCATAATAGAAACAAATTAGATTAAGTGTACATTGCATTGTGACCATGTTATCACTTAACTGTTTCATTGGGTTTAACCTTACAGCAGTCCTGAGCCACATGTGCCAGTTGTTGGCCAGTTGAGAGGATTGAGGCTTGCAGAAGGTCTGAGGCCGTCTTTCTTCCCTATCATTCCTTAGTGATCTCTAACACTGAATACAAATTGTATAGTACTACCTTTCATTTTTAAGATTTGCAAACTATCTTTACTTTTTTATGTCTTTAAATATTTTTATCCCTCAAACGACACTGTGAAGTATTAGGAATTTCGTTATCTATTCTGGTGAACTTTTTAATTATATGGACAATTTAGTTAACTTTTAAATTCACTATTTTAGAGCCATTTTTCCTCAATACCCACTTTAAAAAAAAACCTACCAAATGGTCCAAACATTGTATGCACATATGAATAAAATAAAAATTAAAAAAAAAAACCTACCTCTCATTTGCTTTGCAAGGGGAATGAAAGACTGTCATGCCAAGCCCAGTTTTGAGGAGCTGTTACACACATATAGTATACTCGCTTAGTGCTAGACACATAGTAAACATTCAAGGAATATTTGCTATTGTTGTTAATTATAAAATATTAGCTTGTTCCCCTTTACATGCATTATCTCACTTAATCTTCATAAACATTCTGTGAAAGAGCTCTTATTGCAATATGTAACATTATGCTTTTATCAGTGACCATGACCATTTCAAATCTAGTAAGTGCTTTTTGAGTCTACACCTTCCAGATTATTAAATACTGTCGTGAATAAATAGGCTACTAAGACACATGAAGAAGACTAAGGCCATAAATTACTGTATCAGACCCCAAGTTAATATAATGAATTAATTATAATGAGTATAATTAATATAACCAGACACTTGTGAAGAAAGAGCAATGGAGGTGCAAACCAGTGGGGTTAAGTCATGATTGGTTCACAGAATCACAATGAGATGTGCCTGGGAGGCAAAGAGTATTACATCAGGCCAGAGAAAAAGCAGTAGGATGGTCCAGACTTAGCTCATAAGAACAAAGTACAGAGTGTATTCATGGGGCAGCAAGCAGTTTAGCTGAGTGAGAGTAAGAAAAATAGATAATTTTGGTTGACCATCGACTAAGCCTGGTATGGTACAAAGCAGTTTACATGAATTATTTTAATTAATCCTTAGAGTCCTTTAAGGTTGGTACTATTGTCTTTCCTGTTTTACAAGTAGGTACACTAAGGCACAGTGAGGATCTGCTGAGGCCAGTCTTAAATCCAGGCACCCAAGCTTCAGAGCCCTCATTCTTTTTTTTCCTCTTTATTTGTTTATTCATATGTGCATACATTGTTTGAGCCATTTCTACTCCCTGTCCCTTGTCCCCTCCCTCTCCTCCCTACCCCACTCTCTTCCAGGCAGAACCTGTTCTGCCCTTTTCTTCAATTTTGTTGAAGAGTAGACATAAGCAATAATAAGAAAGACATAGTGTTTTTGCTAATTGAGATAAGGATAGCTATACAGAGAGATTCC